GAACGATAGGATTGTATATACCAGGTGTGCATGACTATAATTAACTTGACAGGCCAATGTTGTCATGTAGAAACTATTGATATAGACAGGGATTGTTTGTAAATATTGTCCATCCTATGGCCGTTTTATGACGTGATTTAATTGATGCTGCCAAATAAATCCCAACTTGATTACAGTCAGTTTGACATGGAATTGGTAATAAAGTTACATAAGTAAGTACCCCCCTTTTCTTATGATGGATTGAATGGTTTATAAGGTATAACTTGACATGAAACAGACATGCACTTTTAGCTTAATAATAGAAATGCAGAAGAATTAATTCTTGTCTTTTTCAAATTTTACAACACAAAAATCGAATACTTAATTATTATATACAACAATTATATTTGTCTATCGAAATCTTCGGGGTGTTTAAATGAAATACCTTTTATATAGATTATCTTTTCGCAAAATTTTCGCCAATAAAAGATTTGCAATTAATTAAGTTCTCGAATTCTGTGCCATTGGTTTCTTTTTTCTTTGCTTTTCATTATTAATCTTTTAAAGTATTTTTTCACATTTATTTGATTAAAAAAATAAACGGATCATAGAAAATTGAGCAAAAAGAGAGAGAAAAGAGAAAGAAAGAAAAGAAAGAAAACAACATATAACACAAATACCAATTGTTTATAGAGGCCTAGCCTACATGTATATGTCTCGTTGTTGTCATTCGGGAATATGTTCAATTAATCATTTTTTTTAACTTCACTAGACCTAGCTAAATGACTTTCAAAGGACGAGTTAAATATTAGAAGAAGCAATCTTTTGTATCACACTGTGCGTTACATGATACAGTACATTATAGTACTCGACTTTGTTTAAAATTCCTAGAGTTAAATATGCAGACCGCCTGGCGCATCCCCCCGACTCGGCTGGGCAAAATTACTGGACCTTGCCTATCTCACCCATATCAGATCCTACTATTACCCTGAGATTTTTTTTTCGAAAAAGTATAGTTTGAAAAGTATATATTTTTTTTAGGGAAATATAAGAAATGTCCATATATTTCTTTCAAACCTATTTTACAACCTTTTGAGTGAAAAAAATATGTTGAGTATATCTCATATAGAAAAAAAATTGATGAAATGGTTAAATAATTTGATTTCATATGACATTAATTGTCTTGTATGTTAATTGGCTTTATTGTAGAACTGATTTGAAAGCTTTTCATTAAGGAATGAAATCCACAATTAGCGTCACTAATGTGGGGGCCATGGCACGAAATCCTCCATGGCATGTGAATTGCATAATTATTATGCAAATACCTCGCTAATTACTCTCGTACAGTCAGTTATCATATATTCGATCAATGCATACTATCTTTGCAAGATATATAACTGTATTCAGCGGCAGCTCACACATATTGGTCCGACCAAAATAATTCCATCATGATAAGTAGATACAACATTATTGTTCATGATAAGAGTATTTAGTTGTGTATGTCATACGTTAAAGAAATCAAAAATAACGTCAAAATATCATTAGAAAGTCACTTTCCCCCCGAAATGCAAATAAAAAATATCAATATTCCTACGCTCGCTCCCTCCTCAACCTTTTTTTTTTTTTTACATGTTTGATAACAGAGAATAATTAGGTCATTCTTCGATTCATATCTTTTCACCGATGAAGTGATAATACTATATCAACAATTGTATTAAGTACATGTTTATAGCCCGTTAATTATCATACAATTTGTTCTTAAAGAAAAAATTAATCATTCTGTGTATGTGTATTATTAAATGACGGAATTTTCAATCCCTGGCCTGCTCGTGTGTACACTTTGTAAACTGTAGGGTATGTGTGGCAAAACGAGAACTGGGTTGGAGATTCGGGTTCGTGTTGAAGTTCAGCATATACCATTATATATAGAACTTGAATAATGTAAGTAAGATTTCTGCGACAAATACATTAGTATATTTCAGTTATTTTCAAAATAAAAAAGGTTTTCCATGTTTTCAGTTTAGAATTTTCCGACCCGGACCTGATTTTCCCAACCCGGCCATTTTAAACACAAGTTGTTGCAGATGAAAATGTTAGAACAAACTATATAAAGTTCAACAGGGATTGTATAATTTTTATTAATCAGAATTCGTATTTATATGATCTATAATTAAGAAAAGAAAAGTTTTGTCTGACACCGTAACTTCTCGGCAAAACAAAACGTGTTTCTCCGAGCTCGCTGGATGCGTGTGACAGCTCCATTGCACGTGTGTAGACCAAGGCTAAAATTGGTCTTGCGGACACAGGTACATGTAGGCCTATGTGTACTGTTTGTTAGGAGACTGGGTGACCGTAATGCTATGGAATCACGAAATTTACAACAGTTCCATAATTAGACAGTGCATTTTTTTTTATTAACGTCATTATAAACACTGTTAAACATATTAAATCTAACAGTCGAATATCTTTGGATATGGGGTAACCCATATCTATTCTTGTTATGAGTCAATTAGGCAATCAAATCATATTCAGTGCAGGTGAAAATATGCCATGTCAAAAATTTTGCTCAGTTATAATGAACCTTTCATACAGAGAAATAATTAACATAAAAAAAAAAAGAATTCTCTGTTTTAAAAATGTACAAATGCATAATTTTTAATATATTGTCTGCATTTATTCCCATCATAAAACCAACAAAAGAAATTCGCCTATAACTAATTACTTATGCATGTCTCCGAATTTCAAAGACTGCTGGTGAGGTAACGTTTAGGAGGGAATTATCGGTCTATTGTCCTTCTCCTAGGGCACCTGTGCAGAATAGCAGTGACATAATCGTATTGGACCCTTAACATAAAGGGCTTAAAGAACGGTCAAGTGCTCGAGGTACCCAGGTGCGACCACAATGGCTACGTGTCAATACCTACTGGACAACGAATATAACCGTGAGAATCCACCTGGAGCGACCGTGGACGGCAATACAACAAGATGATGTCAAAACAAATAACGCTTATTGTAAGATGGTGCTAAAAGCTTCGGACCAAATACTGGACCGGGATTATCCAAGTCGGGAAATAGATTGAATTCAAAGATTATATCGGTACCGCGTCTGGTTCTGAGACCTTCTATTTTTTCTAGCTGTGAAGATTAACATTGTTTTTGTTTGTTGATTTGTTAGTCTTTGTTTTCTTTTTAATGTATATGTGTATGTGTGCTTTACTGTTACGTTAATTGAAAGAATTGTTTAATTAGTTTTGTTGTTGATCTTTGTTTATTTATATTTTGTGTTTATTTCGCTTCAATTTGCTTTTACTGGCCGATTCTTTGAATTCTCTAAAACTCGATCAATAATTCTGTCATTTTTTTTTTACTTTATTCATCCCTAGAGCACTCGAAGGAAAACTGATTTTATTTTTTTTAACATTCTTTGAATTTTTTGAAGTGGCACATTTTTCAGCACAAAACCAAGAATTAAAAAAAAAATATCAAATTAAACTTAAAAATGATTTCTGTATCTTATGATTTATTAAATATAGAAAGAAGGAAATTTAAAGAAAGTTTTCAGTAGCAGATTTCTACACAAAAAGGAAGCTTACAATTTTACTACGATGAACTCGTTGGCCCTCTTGATAGTAAGTCACGTGATAGAATTCACATCCCTGATTGGCTGTGCACCTTTCTTACACGAGACCGGAACACATTCCTGTTCATTGAAATGTCGTCAGATCTCCTTTTGATAATGCCTTATTGTACCTAAGCCCCACCCCCTGCTGAAATTTTATACAAATGGCACGCGTCGATTTCAATCGGCACACTCCTGGCACGCGACTCAAATGGAATTATTACCAAAAAATGTACATACCTGGTTGAAACAAAAACAGAACCGCCTAAGAGGATTCTACGTTTTTCATTTCTTTTTTCACCAATGTTTGAAACATGTGACTTTTTAATTTCCAGTCGTGGCAATGGAGTGCATTAAATATTGCGTATGTTTTGCTGAAATTTGATTAAGGATGTGTAAGTTTCCTTCTCAGGTGAATTAAGGAAAGTTAATTTCTCAAATTGAGGAAGGACCGCCTCTGTGGTATTTTTGAAATTGGATATACAGGATTCTCATTTAACACAAATTAACAATTTTGAAATAAAGTACCTTTTTCATACAAAACAAAAAATGTGTTTCATCTCAATTTCTTGCACTCCTTTTACAGAGAACATATTGAATCAAGACCGGTTAATTCATCAGGCAAAAAGTCTTCTCTTTGTCTAGATAATGGACAAGCACACCTGTTCGGTTGAATCTCTCGTTGTCATGATCCATGGGAAGAAACTTTCCTTGTATTAAAGTATACCTGTTTTTACAAGTAATTTACGATAAACTTAAATACCCCTCCTAGACGCTGTATTTATTTTTGTTAATCTTTTTCAGAGCTCTGGCGCCAGCTATATCGTATCTAAATACTCTGTAGTACATGATTATATGCAAATACGCAGGTGTGCGAGTGTGAAGTATCAGGGGGCCGAAGGTGACGAATTTTAATGCAATTTATCAGTTACTTCAGGGCGGCAGCTTTGAAGTTGTGTGTGATTGGCACGTCAAAAACGTTAGCGACCGCCTGGATGGCGCCTAGACCATAGCACATAGTATGAAAGAAGAATGAGTGACGTCACACTGTCGGCGCCTCGATGGCGAAAATATTTATATTGAAAACTGGCTTGATTTTTACCTGTTGAAACTGGTATCGTTGAAGTAAAATTGTTATAAAACTTTCCGATTTTATATTTTTTAGCTGATATCGATGATTATAGGGAAAAATTAAAGAAATAACAATAAATCAATGAAAATAATCTAATATTTTACACTACACAGATTTCAGTAGGCGTGGCTTTGCTGTTGAATGATTGGTTGATAACGGTACAATGACCCCTTTGAGAAAATAGTCCAGCCTATGGCAAATTGGAGTAGGCGGAGCTAATATCTACTCACGGTTATTACAAGTGAATATTTATACACGACGTATTCCTCGTTGTAACATTTGCAAGCTAAGCAAGGAGAGAGCTAGTACGTAGAACAAGTCAATCGATATTACCAACAACTCGCAGCGAAAACATGAAAGCCATTACTCAACCTTGTGTAAGACCAGTGGAACTCGGCATGAAGAAGGATTCCATGAAAGTGATGAAGAAAGTAGACGACTGTGCCGCAGAAATGCAGGCGTGCTTCTCTAAACTGAAGGAATTAGTACCGTCTGTGCCACAAGACAAGAGGCTATCCAAGACCCAGTTGTTGCAACATGTGATTGATTATATTTTGGACTTGGAGACAGCCCTTGACTTCAACCCTGCTGTGCTAACCGAGCCTCTACCCAGTGTTAACCGGGCCCCACTCTCAGAAAAACCCGAGCCAAACACTATTCAGGCCTTTACTCAGGTAAGAACATTCTTAGTCTATGATAATGATATTGATTTCCCAGTGTTTAACATAATTGATGATAATTTGGACTTCATTTCTTTATGTAAATAAATAAAAATAATATTTTCTCGTTAATTAGATGGCTGTCTCGATGGATCAAGACGAATCCTGCGATTCAAAGTAAAGTGAACCCGTGTCTCCCTTTGCGGATGTGAACTAACAATCGGTGAGTACTTTTTTCCCTTGTCTAATGATATGTTTAAATATGAATTAAAAAACCTGATCATATTCAATGAGGTTAAAATGAGAAATTTGTGGGAAGATAAAGTTAAAATTCTCGCCCAGTTGTGTCTCAGACTTGCTGGCGCCATCTAAAGTAAAAGCTCTCGAGTGTCGGGTCTACTGTATCAACAGGTGCAGTCGAGAAAATGTTTAAGTTAAAGATTCCTTAATATATCGGACAGCCCCCACCTGTTCCCATGAAAGAGATAGATAATTACTGACGTCACTTGGAATTCATAATGAAATTTTATTAAGTATTTTCTGTTTAATTTAATTACAGCATTGGAACCCCAAATTTTCCATGCGAGTTGCCACATTTGAACGGAGCCTTATGAACAAATAAAAGCATGAGAACTCCAAGGATGAAACCGAGTTGGTCAACTTCAAGCACGACGAAAAATGCTGGTCACCAGAGGAGGAAAAAAAAGTCGGGAAAAAATAAAAGCGGTCCCAACCTTGGTGAAAATGCAGCTTATGTGAAGTAGTGACATTTTAGTACCAACCCTTCGTTGGACTTCAGTTGTATATACGTTTACATTTTCTTTTGTCACTACTACTCTTACGATTCGTGCCGAGTGGACAATTAGTGACCAATCCTCGGACAGAATTCTGTACATAGTGGACAGAAAGCATGAACTTGGCGACGCCGAACAAGAACTTTTCTCTTGTTTAAAAAAAAAAAACTCATTGTTATAATCCTGTATATGGAAGAACAAAATATTGCCACCGATTCTGTATTATTTTGAGTTTTTTTCTTTTTACAAATGTATATTTTTTTTCTTGTTGTATTTTTATAAAAATTTTATTACGATTCATATTAAAACTTTTTCCCAAAAAACAATCACGAGTTTTGTCACTTCATTACATCACAATATGCAATATATCAGGACATGCCTCATTAACAAATTATAATAGCAGTTGTTAATTGTTTTAAGTGGAAAAGTCCCGATTTCCTTGAGCAAGGGGCATTAGTAATAAGCCCAGCGGGGTTGACATGTCTTGGACATGTGTATAATCTGCCGTTATAAGGCAATATAACCCTGGGTCCCACAGAGCATTTCTTTGACAGACTGACGTATTTTGTACCTGAGGCCTGTGGATTTAGTACCATCGACACCTGGCGAAGAGATGAGAAAAAGATAAAAGTAATTTGTACTTGTAAGTGGTAAAAAAAGGAAAAACTTGGAGACAAAATTTGATCAGATTGTCATTTTTTTCTCGACATAAAAATATAATTATATGAAATATATCTGATGTTGACTAAAACTTTGGGTATCAATTGGAGTAATCTTTCATAATATGGGTAGAGCCTGACACAACGTCAGATTTCTTACGAAGATAGGAATTATTAACTTATCTGCATGATTTCATAGAAGAGATATGGAATATTCAGTTATCATACATCTAAAGTAAATGCCACCAGTAAATGGACCTCGAGTCTAAAATCCAGATCAAATGGGCAGCTTGGTGCCACGAGTGAAAAGCACGTGAACAATAATAGTTTTTGTATGTTTATGTCAATTTAGATACAATAAGCATGTGTTTGTTTATTTACTTGGTTATGCTACTGTTCCCCAGGTGGCTAGCTATGTGTTATCCTTCAAGAACGGGGTCTTCAAGCACTGTTGTTGGCCCCCACCTGAGAAAACATCCAATATGTGTACAATGATCAAGGAAAAATAAACATATCCTAATGAAATGTACATTTCACACATAAACAAACAACGGTCACGATTAAAGGCAAATGAAATATCTTAGACGTATTGTTTTCTTTTCACATGGGCTTTGTTTTGTATCAATTCGGGTAAAGAAAATCAAAGGAAAGTTCACCGACCCAAGGGAATTGTATTAGACGTGAGTTTTATTGATTACATGCAGTATACGATGGCGTGGTCAGCATCCCACAAAAATGCACGTGTCCAGTGCCAAAATGATGCCATCTTATCGCAAAAACCTCAGATCGTCACAGCTGCAGGAGAAATTAACGCGCCCCTGACCATCTGCGTGCGGAAGAAATCATTTTTACGACAACATCGCGCTCCATGAGAAAAACTTACATCTGACATCTAATTAGCAGTCGTGCCCCGCGATTTTCTAACAGCCGCCCTTGCCTACAGGTGAGGCTGACCAATCCAGAAGGGCACCCTGACGCACATGTCGCGCAGGTGAAGTCGGGTATTGATACAGTGGGCGGCATATTGCGTGTCGACAACGAACACAGCAGATGACCACTTGTGCGCTAGTTTTCCCATGCATACCAGCCCCAAGTAGACCATGTGTCATCCATATTTTGCCACCATTTTCTAATCTCTTTTGGCACTTGGTATTCGGGCATTTGACATATTGATCACATCTGTTTCGCCATATGGATATCAGATCGGTTCCATGAATATGTTTTTAGACTTGAAATTGTGTCTTTTATGTTATAATTCTCTCTGCAATACCTATAGCCGATAAAGAGTTTAGGCCTTTGAAGTAAAGAACAGACGTTTGGCTATTTTTATCAACTTCTGCTTGATGTAAGATTCCCATTTCCCCCAGACAAACAAATGCATATTTCGGAGTTGGTTTATCTCCTTTGCGGCATAAATCAATCATGTTGGACATGGCCAGTCAAAAGGGCATCAGTTATGCCAACTTTCAATCAGGCCGGATTCATGTATTTCTTCTTATTGATTTTATTGCTCAATCTTTTTCTGTTGTTTCCGTAAACATCGTTTTTTTCGCTATAGGGTAAAGTCAATAGTTGTTTTTCTTTAATTTAGTTTATTGATTCATTTCTGTAGCATTTTTCGTAAATTTAACAAAAAAAAGTCATGAAAATTGAAGTTTAACGGTGTCATTTCACAACAATGAAAAAAAAAAGAAAAGGGAAAAATAGATCCGTGCACACCTTATGTTATTTTTGATAAATAATATATGTCTTGAGAGTGCACATGATAGTCATTACGACGAAACGCGACTTGATTGCAACTTATTTGACACAAGCAATCTGGCGAGTTTCGGCCCGTTTTAGATCAATCAATATACATGCTAATGTGCTGGGCCTTATTACACACCTGCACAACTGATGCGGCCCAGTACTTTCCGATACCTTTTGTTCTTAATCAATTTTCTATCAACCCCCGGGTTCATTAGTGGGTTTGAGACTTGTTTGGACAGAATATGAAAGTGGAACACCTGCAAGACTTTCATCAGCTGATATCGTCTATATGATTATGATTTCGTTACGATAATAAAAGATTACGGATATCTGGGAATATGACAGAGATTGGTGTTTGCAAATAGCCGTGATAATTGTTTGGTTTGAAAATGGACTTGATAAACAGAAAAGAAAGAAAAATTAAACGTTTACATGCATTCGAAGAACTACTAAATTACGATTGAGTTTTTACAGCATGCCATCGTGTGAAATCATTATGGTCTCTTGTGAAAAAAAGATAAATTCCAGCTTAGAAATGTTGTTGTTGTTGGGTATGTCAACAGGTTAATTCCCTTTTTATACGTTTTTACGATAAGACACTTTTGTCATGTTAGCCTGGGGTTCCCCCTGCGCGTGATGTAACTTTCTGCAGGTGGACCGGAAACGCCAAGGGTCTCAACAGGAAAGGAAACATGCTTATTTTAACCATGAAATAAGTAACATGCATTGAAGTTTTTAATATTAAACAGTCGGACCATCTTGTGTTGAAATTTTAATTTCAATCTATAATTTAAAATTTATTTTTTGTATTAGTTGAAGTGAAAAATTAAAGAACAACTGTACTAACTAGTGCTAATTGTAACGGGGACCGTTACAGATGTTCCCCAAACGCTCCCCAACTCCCTTTTATAGTCATATTCCCTGTAAGCGTAATTAAATAAGACAAACTCTATGCATTTGAGACTTTAACAACGTTTACCCAAAAGTGTACTATGTTCATTCAAATTTTATCATTGCACACTTGCGCATGTGAATGCATGTGCGTAATGACCATATCATATTGTCTACACAATCTATATACTTTAATATGCTAAATATTAAAGTATTTAATCCAAAAGTATAAAAAAAACCCGCTCATTCAAGTGTATTTTTAATTTTACCCATTTCACGTGCACGCAAGTGCATACATGAGCATGGTGACCATACCTTCTTGTATAAGTCCATTACATCTATCTATGTTCTAAATCTCACCCCGTTTGGTTCAAAACCAAGGGAGTTATAGCTGTTTAAATTTTCAGCCAATCAGATTGCAGCGCACGTACACGCACATGCATGCATGCATGTGCATGGTGATCATGCCTTCTTGTAGAAGTCCATTATATATCTCTATGCTCCAAATCCAATCCTGATTGGTTGAAAACCAAGGGAGTTAAAGCTGTTTAAAGTTTCAGCCAATCAGATTGCAGCGCACGTACACGCACGTGTATGCATGTGCATGGTGACCATACCTTCTTGTAGAAGTCCATTATATATATATATGTTCCAAATCCCATCCTGTTTGGTTGAAAACCAAGGGAGTTATAGCTATTTAAAGTTTCAGGCAATCAGATTGCAGTGCACGTGCATACACGTGTTTTCATGATAATTGCTATATATCATGTTGTAAGATATCGTAATACATGACTATGTTCAAAATTTCAAAGGATTTCGTCAAAAAACAAGAAAGATATTAAGACTTTAGTTTCAGCCAATCATAGCAAAGCGCACGTGCATGCGCGTGAGATCTTGCTATTTTGACCATGTCATCTTGTCTATGCTACTAATATATCATTACAATATGAGTTTCAACGCATTTCATCAAAAATTGAGAAAGTAAGTCTATATCAATTATATTGATCATTTCTCGTGTTGCACGTGCGCGCTCTTGCAAGCACGTGCCCGCAAAATGACCTTGACTAGGCAAATCTACATAACATGTCTACTAACCCTAACAAGGTTTTACCTACATCGGATGAACAGTTTACAAGATCATTCCCGGACAAAAAAGTACCCAGGAAGAAGAAGAAGAAAAATAATAATAACTAGATGCGATCTCGTTGCGAGCAACGAGTAGGTCTTCCGTCCGAATTTTCGATAAGATGAGATATGACTTTGACTATGATCTTTGATAAAACATCATGGAATCATGCCTTTTCTATTTTGATTAAATCCTTTTGATTTAGATAATATCATCAATGCGTACTTAATTTGCACATTAATTCTTTTATTTTTTCTACTTTGAGAAACAACCAAACCAATTAAAGAAAACTTGTAAGGAGACCTTGGATTATGAATGTAGTTTGACGCAGAATTGCAACGAACCTACGACGTGACAATCCAAGTATCCCTACACATTTCATTGCTCCTTATGTTACTTTCGTTCAAGCAAACGCTCGGCTGCCTCTGTTAACCGCTATTGCGAAATGTCGGAATTGACAGAGACCGCCGCCATTTAGTTCCCGCTTCAGATTTTTGAATGTTATTATCTCGAGTTTGAATTTATAAATTTACAAACGAATTATATATTCAGCCTAATAAGAAATGTTTCTATCAACTATACTAATATCATTTGAAAATATTGAAAAACAAAAAAGTTAAAGACGAGAGACTTTAGGCCCCTCTATGCCCCTAATTTGAAGGACTAACCCCGTTTACTTGATATCAAATGAAAGGTCTTACTATATTGCACATTTTTTATTATATATGTCTTAACAAAATATGAACAGGTAAAAAGATATAAAAGAAAACGTGTCAATTTTTGCGAGATGAGCATGAGGCTATTTTTCGATCCCAGG